CTCTCTCTCTCTCTCTCTCTCTCTCTCTCTCTCTCTCTCTCTCTCTCTCTGTGTGTGTGTGTGTGTGTGTGTGTGTGTGTGTGTGTGTGTGTGGGTGTGTGTGTGTCTCCTTTTTTATATATTGTAATGACCCGCCAAAAACACAGACTGAGAACACTGCTGATTTCTGGGATTTGCCGCTGGAATGAATGCCTTGTTGAAATTCCCGCATTCTGCTGTGATTTCCATGTCTGTGTGTGTGTGTGTGCCTGCTGGTTTGCATGCCTATCTGAGTGCTTGTCGGTTGAGTGTGTGTGTGACCCGCTGTTGGTTCTTCGCCGTTGGTTCTTGTGACGTCAGGCCATATTAGCCGCACGACCTGGGTAGAGAGGTGTGCGCCGGAAGGCTATACGGCATGGGAAGCCGTGGTTACAGCGGAATGTATGATTGGTGATGAGAGCACGCTGATGTGGCATTTAGCTGAGGTGGCACTGCATTGCGTTGTGGGTGGTACCGAGGCTATGACCGGTCATCAAATGCACACTCAGCTCAATTGGTGAGAAATCTGTGGTTGGGGGCAGCTATCTCCAGGTATGTTGTTCCCTTACCTTATCTACGCTCTCAATCTCTTCTTACCGCGAGGAAGTGAGTCCAACTTGAGAGTCCTCTCTTTTGGTGAGGTGTCGCGTGCGCGGTACCTTGAGAGACGACAATCTTTCCGGAAGCATCTGGAAGGAGAAAGGGCGGTGCCTCTGAAGGGCCCTGGTCGAAGCACTTGGGTCACAATGGGAGTAGGTCACGCATGTGATGGCTGCTTGTCCATTTTGGCACTTTGCTGCACTATAGAAGTTGTGCCAGGTGTGCCAGCCCATAAGAGACGCTTACCGGACCGTCTATAAATACTTCTGGCTGGGGACTCGGTGTTGATACTGGCTGTGATCGTCGTCCTGTCTGCGACATTAAATAATTCCTTAGGGGATGGGGGCTCTCCTTAAATCCCTCCTGATCAGCCAGATCAAACCGGGTAGTAAGGCTCGTTCCGTACAAGGGTAAATAAGAGTGGATGGGCTGGCTTGCTGGGCAATGACTTGGGGCACAGGGGTGGGCTGACATAACACACGAAGACACCGCTGCTCAAAGATGCTCTTTGGTATGTTGGATTGAGGGGAGGGTAGGTTCTAATTGGTGCTCAACTGTAAAACACAACTATATCCACTATTCATACATCTGCAACATATTTTAGTTTTATTGTTGATTAGTTGGTTGACAGACTGCTAACACCTCACAGACAGTTTAGTATAGGACTGTTGTATACTACCATAGCCAGTTCTGTGCAAAGCTTCTGTAAGTGAACTAATCACGGTAGAACTAAACTATGTTGACATTCTTTCGTGAATGTTGTAGGCTGCCACTTGATCGGTCAAGTAAGGGACCTGCCGGACACAATTATTTTTAGAAAATTAGGTGTCGGTCAGACACATGTTGTGGTAGGACTCCAGCAGGGGGTTGTAGTGCAGATAGTGTTTGCCTAAGTGATGAGTGGGTCAGACACCGATGAGGGTAGAGTTGACAATGCGAGACTGACACGTTCGAGATCACTTAGGGTCCCGCACGTGTTTCAGGCCCTACAACCGGGAGACGAAGGACGGCTTTGTGCCGAACACAGAGCCCGTGCTCTCGCAGCAGCCAGGGCAACAACAAACGCAACAGCTAGAGAACAGGCAGCAGCAGCCAGAGCAGCAGCAATGGCTAACGGTGCAGCCTCTGCTGCGTCCTCGTTTGGGACCCAGTTCGGAATGCCCTTTGGGCCCGCAGGTACTTCCGGGTCAGTAGGTTCTAGTCAGTCCACAAGTCAAACGGCGGGCTCGCAGTTAAGCCTGTTGACCCCACGCGGCAGGGAACTCCTAGAGCTCCAACAAGTCGAATGGATTCGCGAGCGGTTAGAGAGGGAACTGAAGCAAGCTACCGACAGAGAAATGAAATTAAAAATAGAACAGCCAGGCTTGATACGTTAGAGGCAGACAAAGCTGCGCTAGAGGGTTTGGATGAGTCAGCCATGTCTGACCAAATGAAAATATTGAAGAACAGTGTATTGTCGCTGCATGCGCATGTGGAAAGCAGACTGGACTCCATGCAGAACTCTTTGGACCAGATCTTGGACCGTTTGCAAAGGCCAGGATTTCGGCCAGCAGCACAGTCGTCATTGCCGTTAACGACGATGTCAGGCGCCTTTCCGACACAAGCTGGCACACAACCAAGTGGTACGTCTGCAGCAGCCGCACAGACTGTTGCTTCTTCTTCTTCTGGGTCAGCGGTGGTAGCTACACCATCACCGCAACAACCTGTTCCTCAACAGGGACAGCAGCAAGGTCAATGATACCCAAAGACCCCTATGAAACCGCCCCTTGCCTTCTCCGGAGAGAAGAAGGACGAGGAACTCAACACATGGTTGAGAACGGTTCCGGTATGGGTAAGGGCAAAGAGGACTATGCAGGAGGAGGAGGTGATTACTTTTGCATCTTACCTGGAGGGTAAGGCAGCCAAATGGCTGGATGGATTAGTAGCAAAGGCCGGGTATGGACGACGCATGGCGGATTGGGCTAAGACCCTAACGTTAGAAGAGTTCTTAGACATGGTAGAAGCTCGTTGGCACAATCCACAGCAGGCACAAATTGCCACTGATGCGATGCTCAGACTAGACCAACGAAAGTTCAAGTCAGTCAGAGAGCTAACGACTACCGTAGAGAGTCTCATCGTCGTTCCCGGCATACGCTGCGATGACCAGGTCTTGTTGACCATGTTTGTGAGATGTCTCCCAGAGAATCTCATAAATTTGTTGGCCAGCGAGGCTCGCCTTGAGTATCATTCGTTTGAGACCTTATCTAGAAAAGATTTAGACTTAGAGGTTACTCTATGAAGTGCTCAGCCTACTCCATTAGACGCGCGGAAGAAGAAGGGTCCACAAGAATGGAAGAAGAAGGGGAGTAAATTGATGATGGTTGAGTCCGATGGGACTCAAACTGAGATCGAGGAACTCACAGACCTGTTGGAAAGTTCAGAGTGCGACGGCGAGGAGATCGCTGAGGGTAGCACCCTCGCCGCAGTAGTAAAGACTAAGGCAGGTGGCCGAGGGAAGGGCCATCAAAAGAGTCAAGGGCAGGCCGCCTCCAACCAAACCAAAGTTGCTGATTGGGTCAAGGCAGGTCTTGATCAAGAAGTCTGGCGGGACCGTAGAGTGCGTGGTGCTTGCATCAACTGTGGTGAATACGGACACACCCAGTACAAGTGCAAGAACGCAAAGGTCACGCAGAAGATACCTCCTAAGGTAGGGGTACCTTCTTCCCAAGCTTCTAGCTCGGGAAACACGTGAGGCCGGTGGAAGTTTTAGCTGCTTCTATTCAAGGTGAAGTGGGCCAGATACCCTCCCCAATTCATGTGCAGGCCATAGCTAATGACTCTTTAGTCACCCTGCAGACTCATCCAGACCAAACCATGCTCTGTACGTTGGATGTGTCTGAAGCCTTAGAAGATTTGGAAAGTGAGTGGTCAAGTAAGGACCCTCGTGAATCTTGCGTGGCACTAAGAAGAGGTCCTAGAGGGCAACATTTCATTGTGGAAATTGATGCAGGAGGCCGCAAATGTGGTGCCTTCATAGACATCGGCTCCACGCAGAACTACATAAGTCGCGACTGCTTGGAGAGGCTGCACCTACAGGACTGGGTACAGCACCTTAGTAGACCGGTAGCATCTACTTTGGCCAATAAGGAGCGCATGGTTGTCACAGACTATATCAAGGATGTAGTCTGTACCTTCTCCTATGGAGGAGGGGAACTTAATCATAAGATTTCGTTCCTGATTAGCGACGACTTACCATTCACTATGTTGTTAGGAATGTACTACCTTGAGGTTGCCAAACCCCAGTTTGACTGGGACAAGAAAGTGCTAAAGCATAAGTTGTCGGATGGGAGAACAGTGAGATTGACTAAGTTCAAAGCCAGTAGTATAATCGATACCTATGGCTGCTTGTGTGCATCAACATTTTATAATTACTATAAACAGAACCAAGAGGAGGGTATGTACCTAGTGTACGTCTCTGAGAAAGGGGCGGCCGTTAAAACACCCCCAGAGATAGAACACGTCGTTGCTAAGTTCCCTGATCTATTCACAGAGCCCACAGGAGTCGTCGATAGGGAGGTTGTCCACGCCATAGAAATCATTCCAGGGAGTAAAACCCCAAAGGGAAGGATCTGTAGGATGGCTCCGGCCGAGTTGGATGAACTTCGGCGACAACTGAAAGAGCTGACAGAAAAGGGATGGATCCGGCCAAGTACTTCCCCCTTCGGATCTCCAGTGCTATTTGTACCGAAGAAGGGGGGTACATTGAGGATTGATTACAGAGGCCTCAATGCCATCACAGTGAAAAACGCAGAGCCTCTACCTCGCATAGACGACCTATTGGATAGGGTGCAGAGATGTAAGTACTATAGCAAGATAGACTTAAAGTCCGGCTACCATCAGATCGCAATAAGACATGAGGATCAACACAAGACTGCTTTTCAGACCAGATACGGTCTGTATGAGTTTGTAGTGATGCCCTTTGGCCTTTGCAATGCGCCGGGTACATTCCAGCATGCCATGAATAGGATCTTCCATGACCACTTAGATAAGTTTGTCGTTGTTTATCTTGACGATATTCTTATCTTTAATAAGTCTGTCGAGGAGCATGCACAACACGTTGAGACTGTACTTTCACTCCTGCGACAGCACAAGTATAAGGTCAACCTAGAGAARTGTGARTTTGGACGCACTAAGATCTTATACTTGGGTCATGAAGTATCCGCGGAAGGTATTAGGCCGGAAGATGCGAAGGTGGCTAGTATAAGGGACTGGCCACGACCTCAGACTGTTACTAAGGTCAGATCTTTCTTAGGAATGTGCGGCTACTATAGAAACTTCGTAAAGAACTATTCCACAGTCGCCTCTCCTTTGACTGATCTAACTCGACTTGACACGCAGTGGGACTGAGTGATGAGTGCGAGGCTACTTTCAAACGATTGAAGCATGCACTCATGAATCATAAGGTTCTTATGGTGCCCAATCCTCAGAAGCCATTTATAGTGACCACTGACGCAAGCCAATACGGCATTGGCGCAGTGCTGGCTCAACAGGATGGGAAAAAGTTGAGACCGATTGAGTATATGAGCAAAAAGATGCCATCTAAGAAACTGGCAAAGTCCACCTATGAAAGGGAACTCTATGCTCTCTACAAAGCACTTGTCCATTGGAGGCACTTTTTGTTGGGACGGTTTTTCTACTTGAGAACTGACCATCAGACCCTCAAATGGATCAAGACTCAACCGACTCTTTCTGATGCACTCGAGCGCTGGATTGAGGTCATAGATCAGTATGACTTCAAGCTAGAGTATCTGAATGGAGAGTACAACAAGGTTGCAGATGCGCTGTCCCGTAGAGCAGATTACCCAGGAGCGCTAGTTTATGAGTTTGGTGTATCTGAGGAACTAACTCAATCGCTGGTGGGAGCTTATCAGGAAGACCCTGTCACGATGGACATCATACGGAAGCTTGAGGCAAAAGACAAGGCCACGGAAGATGAGTTTGTGATGGTGGACGGGCTTCTCTTTCTTGATAAGGCCGGATTTAAAAGGTTAGTTGTTCCATCTCGTGAACGTTTGCGTAGTTTATTCTTAGGAGAATGTCATGACGCAACCGGTCATTTTGGCTACGAAAAGACAGAGTGCCAATTTAGTACAACGATTTTGGTGGTCCGGAATGCTAGAAGATGCAAAGAAGTATGTTGAGACCTGTCATGTCCGTCAGCGAGATAAGCCGCGAACTCAAGCACCGCTTGGGTTGCTGAAGCCTTTACCTATCCCCGCTGGTCCGGGACAGAGTGTTTCCATGGACTTCATGGACACCCTGGTGACCAGTAGGAGTGGCAAGAGGCACATCTTTGTCATTATAGATCGATTCACCAAGTACGCTAGACTAATTGCCATGCCAGAGACCGCAAGGATTGAACACGTCATCAAGTTGTTTTTGGACAACTAGGTGCGTGATTATGGACTACCAAAGTCAATCGTTAGTGACAGGGATGTCCGCTTCACAAGTGAGCTGTGGAAGAAGACTGCCGAACAGACGGACAGTCAACTTCAGATGACTTCAGGGAATCATCCGAAGCCAACGGACAGGCCGAGCAAATGAACAGAGTTGTACAACACCTGCTGAGGCATTACATCAAGCCCAGTCAGGATGATTGGGATGAGAAGTTGCCTCTCATCGCCAGCCTGTACAACAACGCTGTACACAGCAGTACCGACGTTAGTCCTAATCAGCTGCACTTGGGATGGAAGCCTAGATCAGCTCTGGACTTCCTCCTACC